TTACAAGAACGGCTGCGCGGCCTATGGATGCTTGTAATGGAGAATATGTTCGCAGCAAGGCTTTAGATCTGTACATCGGGTGGTACACGGACGAACTGGAACTTCAACATTACCACATAAAATAATTTACATTCGGGTGGATGATATTCTAACCAGGATACGAAAAAAACACTGTACCTGTGCTGTTCCCCTCAGCACCCCACCCCCCAGCCAGCACCAACGAAATTACTTGTTTTGTCAAGAATCTGTTCAACATTCTTGCCTTCTTTGTGGAACATGTACCTCTGGCGTGACGGGCGTGCATGGCTGGCTGCACTACGGCCCATAACGCCCCAAGAAGCCCGAGATTTTCCAGCTTAAGTGCATCCGATGGGGGAGAACAGTCGCCATATTCTCTACCTGATGGGCGTCAGTCCAGGCGGGACAGGACGAGATGTACACAAAGACGAAACCAAATTATCGGTCTAAATCGAGCGCATCTTTTGACCGCTTTTTGTAATCGCCAAAGGGAGGAAAAGGACGAGATCACGAAAGCATGATAAAGTAGAAGAACGGAGAGAAAAGAAATGAAAATGTGAAGTTGTCGGATTGTGGGCGGGGTCGTCACACTCTGAATGCTTTTCGAGACTGGTCTTTGAGCGGAGATAAGAGCTAAGCTTTACCATAATGCGTGACGCCAAGGGTGATGTAGGATTTGTCTGCCTTCAAATCACCCTAACGGAGCTTTGTGCAAATATTAAGCAAGCACCGACAGTGACACACGTAAGGAAACAATCAGAAGAGCAACAAAACAGAAGAGAATCGGAACAACGTAACGATTTTATTCTGTTTTACAGGATTGCGCCACCTTCCTGTTGTGATGAAAGAAAGAGAATATCGAAAAGCCTTTATTTGTGGTAAAAATTACAACAATTGGCTCAGAATTCAGCCTCAGACAAGAACGAGAAAAGGGGGTCCCTCGCCAGCACATAAACACACACAGTTAATTGTTTCTAACTGACCAACCTCGATGAACGATTAATTAAATGCCAGCGTTCGTGCGGCTTTTGTGGCCGATTTTCACCTCCCTTTAGTCTTGTTTGTATAGGCGTATTTCTTTCTCTTCTTCTCCCTCTCACTTTCTTTCTGCTTTTGTTTGCATACCTTTCTTGAAGTGGCTGCCTTTTTTCTAGCTACCTAAATTTGTATGTTTGTTTATCTGTTTGTTCAGCTATCTGTCTACCGCGGTATCAAGAGAGAGAGAGAGAGAGAGAGAGAGAGAGAGAGAGAGAGAGAGAGAGAGAGAGAGAGAGAGAGAGAGAGAGAGAGAGAGAGAGAGAGGAAAGGAGAGGGAGGGAGGGTGAGCAAATCTGTCAAAAAAAAAAGTAAGCGAAAAATGTTGACACAACGCCAAACCATTTGACTATTCGAAAAGCAATTTTGTCTTAAAATGAACTTTTTACTTGACGGGCGACATTTTTTTTTCTCTCTTCACTAAAGTCATGACGTCACTTCCGCTCTCTGCTTTTCACAATAATGCTTTAAAGATATCAGACACGAGAAAGCTTTTTTCTTTCTTTCTTTTTAGATCAAGAAACTTTCAAGGTTAGACAAAATCAATTAATTGAGAAAATACCACTTAAGAGTTTTGGGGAAGTTCTCCAAAATAAAGTATATTCAAAAGTATATTCTAGGATATTAGGACAGGCGATCTAAGGAATCTGGGTCTATTTAAAGAACACCAAGTAAGTTGTAATAAAGAACTCCGCCATGATAGGTCTGTGGTGCTATCTATTGCTTGTCAGCGGAACTGACATAAATGCTTATAATTCCAAATGCTAATGATGGACTTCCATAGAAAAGGAAATACATGCATAAATGTACAATTAATAGAAAATAAAAGAAGCTTATTCATGTATTTAAGAAAGAAGATCTAATGAAAATGATTGAGTGATTGCGCTTGCGTTTAAGAGGTGAATCGAAACAACTTTTGCTCCGCTTCAGAGTCACCGTGAATATTGAACGCCTAAGAGAGAGAGAGAGAGAGAGAGAGAGAGAGAGAGAGAGAGAGAGAGAGAGAG